CCAAATCGGAAACCATTCTTGGCCATATCAATAGCCGGTTGGACTAGATCCCTCCAGGGTAGTCTTCCGTGCGCCTTCCATGCTGTAAGATATCCACTCACCTCACCCGGTACACCTGAGGCGGAGGCTCCTACAGTCAAGGGGTGAGTTTATCTTTTAGCAATCAAACTTTTCTACTAAATACTTCGTTATTGCAGGGAGGTGATGTGGCCTAAGGTTGAACCTTGAACGGGGTATTGTTTTGTGTTTTTGTGACCTTGAGGCTCTCATTACATTAGAGGGGGTTGTCGTGGGCCTTGTGTCCGCATATCATCACGGCTCCCGTGAGATGAAGAGACCAGAAATATTTTACAACTCTTCCTTGAGGACATGCTTATCAATCACTAATAATCCAATCCCCTTCCGCCCCTTACTTTTCAGGCTCGGGTCGGGATATATATCTTCGGAAAGGTGTTGTTTACTGTCGTCTCTATCAGCGTTTATGAAGCTTTTCAAGTGTACGCAGCTAAAAACGCATGTGTTTTCCAAATAAAATGTGGAAACGTGAACACAACACGAACACGGGTACTCCCAAAAAGAAAAAAAAGACTTATTACATCTGACCTATTTTGGAGCTGAGGTTACTGTTGAGATACATGCGGGGGCTTGCTTTCCCAGGAGCAACTTCTCTAAAATCGTACACTTTGGCCATTCCCAGACTTCTATTATACACGGTCATGAAGCCACCGCCACCGATGCCGGTCGAGTGCATATTGATGATGCCTATACAAAATAAAGCAGCAATGGCGGAGTCCACCGCTGATCCGTTCCTCTTTAGGATATCTCTGCCTACCACTGAACAAGGGGCTGCGTCCGCTGCTACTACCCCATGAGTGTAAGGTCCATCGGCCCCTGGGGGAGCTAGGGTGAAGTGTAGAAGACATGATCATCACAATTGGCCACTGACAGGAAAATTTATTGAATACTTCGACTGGATAAATATCGATTACGTTGAGACAGACCGCAGAAATTATGGTCTTCAAAAATATAAAAATTTCAAACTTCTTTTTTTCTCAGGTAAACGTAAGTTTAATAATAAATAAATCAGTTTGGCGTTATCAAAAGCTAGGAAATCGTTGGTAAGTATTTCCATAAGAGTGAATGTTTTATTTAAATGATCTCATATATTAAATTTGTCTCTCGATACAAAACGCAAAGGAATAAATAAAGTCATCAAAGTGTACTTTAAATCTACGAAACAAAGCCCTGCATCACCTTTGAAATATTCCCTAAAATGTTAATGTGAATTGATTTTATAAGATTTAAGAATAATTTCCAGCCGCGCAGGCGCACAGGCTTCAGTATCTATTCAGCCTCTTACCTCCCGTGGGCAGCGGTGGAACGAACGATTCAGTAGATCCCGGTACATTTTTTCCTTGTCTTTCTTGTTCTGCCTCTTTTTTTTTCAGCACTAAGGCAAGCACAATAGCGAGAATTATCAAGATCACAACTATAATCGCTACTGCCATGATGATTTTCCATTTTTTGGAGCTGCAAAAATAAACACACCGTATATTAAGAAAATACCCTTTCTAGCCCATATATCCAAAACTGTTCCAGTCTGAGAATAATTGAATATATGCATCAACCTAATGGGCCGATTTGAAGATGACACAACTTGTTTTGGAGGAATGAATCGATGGATGTCACACCAGTGAATCGCAGAACCCTCAGGCAGTGGTTTCCACAACTGTTTTCCATAAGCGGCTGTCTATGGAGTAATAGATGGCCTCCTTGTTGCCGTGCCCTCCCTCCACCCCGCCCCCCGCGACGAAGAGAAACGGAAGGAAGGGAACTTCCACGAAAACTTTACACAAATCGTGTTCTGTGACGTCACTCTACTCTATGCAAAATTATCTATCTTCATAATATTTTTGGAAAGTGGCACGTGCTAGCGGGTAAAGTAATCGAAGTTAAAAAACAACATTTAGATGGCTGTGCCCGAAAAGGGGCCATAAAGCGAAACTCAAACACGAGAACCTTTTCGCGGGCAAAACAGACGGTTGGTACGAGTTCTTAAAGGCGGTGATCGTCCGTAACCGGCTGTTATTGAAAACCCTACTCAGGGATTCAGTTCAACAACAAGCCCTGGTTGTTCAAAGGTCGAATAACATTATCCACTGGATAAATCGCTGTCCTGTGGATAGCATAGTGCGTTTTGCTATCATTTATCCGTCGGATAGCGATTTATCCGTGTTAATTATTCGCCCTTTAAACAACCGGACCCAGGATATTGGTCTCAGATCAATATCAGCATCTGAGCAACTGCGCACCCACCCCTCCCCTAACCCAACGACAGTCGACTGACAACAGGTAGGGGTTAATGTTTGTTTGGGGGAGGGGTAGGTGCGCAGTTGCTCGGACATCGAGATTAATCTGGTCTTCATTCTTTTGTTTCTGAGATGAAGAGTGGGGGGAGGGGGGTGGGGGAAGGGGGTACGCTTTTTAGCATGATTCTGTCCAGCCGAATTAACTCTGTTTCAAAGCTTTCCATTGTAAAAAGTAAGACGCTAAAACGCTAAAAAGTAAGACGTAAAACGCCAATGATATTTCTATTTTTAAATGTCTTTAAAAGAAGAAGCAGGTTTTTTAGATAGAGTTTTTTTTGTTTTTTATATGTTTTTCGTTTCACGCACATGTTTTAACGAGTTTTTATCACTCCTAGCTGTAGCGTGCGTAAATAAAGTATTTGTAGGATGCACGATCCCCGTATCAAATAAAGTATTGTATTGTATTGTATGGAAGTATTGTTTTTCCAAGACAGCGGACATGACACGGTTATTAAGACCTCGTAACGTTGGAAACAAGTGTTCCCTTATAAACGCTCTAACTTGATGGCTGGGATAAATCAAATCTCGTGGCAGGCTGGTGGAAAAAGGAAGGGGAACGTATGATTCTACCCAAGCGATGATGCTACCCGTGGGATTTTTCTTCTACAAACTCNCAGTCCAGTCCAGTCCAGTCCAGTCCAGTCCAGTCCAGTCCAGTCCAGTCCAGTCCAGTCCAGCACAGGCCTTGATGTTATAGACAGGTTTTTTTCCCCCTTTCGCGAGTTGCGAAAGATCTGGGGCCTTTAAAATAACAACCTCAGTTAACATTCCTTATGCGTAACGATACGGTTCTGTTTACGTCTTATAAAGAGCCATGATCTTGAGTGAGCCTTATTAAGTGAGCCGTAACATACTGACAGAGTAATTGGTTGATAATCTGGCGAGCAATATCTTGGTTTTGTTTCTTCAATAATACAATAACACTCACAGTAAAAGAAGAGTATTAGCGCGAACGCAGTCAAATTTAAATCATTGTCTTTGCTCTGGGCTGTTTGATTATTCCCATGCAATCTTTAATGTGGTTGTTCTCGGAAACCATGCCAGAAATCTGCTGCTTTGTTATCACCGCGCGCGCTCACTAATCCTAATAAACATATTCTATTTCAAGTACTTCTTTACGTACGTGGCTGCAAAGTCCATGAGTCAACGTTTTTAAGCAAATTAGTAGAAAACCGTGACAAAGGCTATTGACTCGAGCACGATTACGGTGCAGATAATATCACGCTAAAATCAAATCTGAAATTCGCGGAATTCAATGGCGATTTAAGAGTCAGTCCTGAGGAACGAAGATGTTTACATTACAAAGAAACCGATCCTTCTAATTGGAACTTAAAGTTCCACACACAACTAAACAACTTCAACGCAGGAAAATTGGCGTTAAACTTAGGTAGATGATTAAATTGTTTGGAGAACTTTTCTTAAGTGAGGTTACAACTGTTCCGGGGCGAAGACTACTACCGAAGTCTACATTCTGTACGAATATTTACTCACATTTTGCGACCTTGTTCAAACTTCAATTCCACCTTTTGGTCTGTGGCGGGGCCGTCCTCGACCTCCCTGTGAAGGAGAATTGGTCAACTTACAATATATGCAAGATATCAATCTCTGAGAAATAAAAAAAGTCGACCGCTCGCCATATGTTTAAGTCGACAGAGGGTTGACAAACAAACGTCAGATTGATGAATTCACCTTAGCGGTTCAAATTCATCTTTTTCCATCTTGAATTGGTGATGAACAAGTGCACGTGGAGTTTTTAAGTCTTTTGTCCACAGAAGACGTGCTCTCTATTGTCTTCGACCATGCGTTCACTTAGCTTTCGCTATTGTAATTTTTTAAGAGAAAGCCTGAGGCGAAACAGGTAAGGACCTATTTAACGTGAAAAGAGATATTTGGAAGTTGCAAGCAATAAGATGTCCATGCTATTTTCATCTTTGATTTAAGTGTCCTTCGGGATATTGTTCACAACCGCGCTTGACGTCATCTTCAAATAACGCAAACAGCAGAACGCACGAAGTTATTAACCAAGCTGTGAAAAACTCTGAGTGGACTCAGTGGAGGTTTTACAGAGGTTATTAAACTTCAAAAGATTTCACTCACATCTTATCTTTCTGTCCTTCCATGATTCCCTCCAGCTGATACAAACCTTGTAAGAAAAATACAAGGAGCGCATTTTCAAATTTTCTTCAATACTACTTCAGTAGAACTCATTCATGTTTGCGTTGTTCGATTCGGCAGCTTCTTCTCTCACTTAAACCCTTTACACTCTAACATCAGTCTGCATATTCTCCATACTGTTCTCTTTACATTTCTTAAGGTGCTGTCAAGGAGAATTTGTTTAGCAATCAAGAGTTTCTTTAGTTGGTATTAATTTTCTTTATTCTCTTGAAAATGTATATTCTCAATATGAACAAAAACTACGAATAGACGCCCGTATTGTAGTATGCGTCCTTTCTTTGGATGTGCTACACAAACTAAAACCAAATTACGGAGCACACGACCGCTAGCTAAGGAGAAAAATTAGTATGAACCTTAGCTCTCAAAGCCATTAATCAATCGATCGATTATACGGCGTGCGATAGTTGCTTTTCTCATCGGAGCATGAAAACAGTAACTTTGACAGTTTACAGAGCGTGTTATTTCTTGGTTCCTGTTTATACATTCAACAGTTGCCTAAAGCCAGCTGAATGATATGCTACAAATTGATATGCAAGAAAGTTAATAAGTTAATAGGACGAAAAAAAGTTGATTTGAAATTTCTTCACCCGGTAAAAAGGTCACAGGCGTTCCTAAACTAAAAAAAAATCAATAATTTTGTCCAAAACTGGCCTCTTGGCTGGATCGGGTTGCACTGCGGTTTGAAGTATTTCAGGTAAGGCTTCCACCTTCGTCTTTCGGTAAATACTGTTCGCCATAATTGCTAGACTAAAAATGTCGCTAGCGACACTTTGCCCATGTTGTCGCCTGACCATGACGAGCTTTGAACCACTTAATCCTTTTATGCAAATGAGCTAATGTGAGCTTCAATCTCGCACAAAGCTCATTTGCATAGTAACTGGATACTTCTGATTGACACAGACGACCTGCGCACTCCAGGCAGCCTTCCTGTAAGGTGTCATAATCCTGACATCGATGTGACAGATAATCGCTTTTGCAGTGTTTTCTTTGCCGGTTATACTTGTCATCAAGTTTCATTAAGACGGCTCTCGTGTTTCTGGAGNCTTCAGCTGCTTTACTGCTTTATCCAGGCCTCTGTAAGAACCAAGGTAGCAGGAGTCAAAGCTACCGGTTCGAAGACGCGTTTCCTTTATTCTGACGTGGGATGGATTAATTTCCTTTATCACTGGGGCCGTTTCATTTGTGCGAGGGATTTTCTTCGGCACTTCATCCCCTTTCTGGACGGTGGAGACACGTTTTCTTAGGTTTTCTCTTCGCTTTTGGTTTCCACTACCTTTCGCAGAGACAGCCGGTCTTTGTATCTGCACAGGATAATGCTCAGCATTATTCCCCCTCTCAACGAGTTCTCCTTCATCGACGCGCTTCTTTCTTCGCTCTTTGCCGATAAGCCTCTCTTGCTCGTCCATTTGTCTTATTACAGAAATCGAAAACGCACAAAAAGATCGAGGTCGACCACAACACAAAGTTGCTAGATACTCGGAAATATGACTCCTCTTTACTGTCCCGAAAAGCAGTTTATGTTTGTGTTATTAGATTTAGCAGCTTCTTGTCTCACTTAAACCCTTTACACCCTAACATCAATTTGCATATTCTCCAAACTGTTTTCTGTACATTTCTTAAGGTGCTTACAAGGAGAATTTAAGTCTTTTCTCCGCAGAACACTACCTCTTTCCGGTCTTCGACCATGCGACCACCTGTTGTTGATTTTTTAGCTTTCGCTGTTGTTCGAAACAAATTTTCAAGTAGAGTAATTTTGTAAGAAGAAACCTGAGGCGAGACAGGTAAGGACCTTTTTGACGTGAAAGTTTTTGCTTTCAAAACGGAATGGATCAGAGTTCCCAAGAAAAAAGATCTTTGGAAGTCGCAAGCGATAAGATGTCCATGCTATTTTCATCTTTGATTTAAGTGCCCTCGAATCGTGATATTGTTCAGAACTGTGCTTGACGTCATCGATCTCCAAATAACGCAAACAGCAGATCTAGAACGCACCGTGACGAAGTTATTAACCAAACTGTGAAAAACTCTGAGTGGACTCAGTGGAGGTGTTACAGAGGTTAAAACTTCAAAATGTTTCACTCACATCTTATATTTCTATCCATCCATCATTCTCTCTAGCTGATTCAAATCTTCTAAGTAAAATACAAGGAGCGCATTTTCAAATTTTCTTAAATACTACTTTAGTAGAACTCATTTATGTTTGTGTTGTTCGATTCGGCAGCTCCTTATCTCACTTAAACCTTTGGACCCTAAGATTAGGAAGCACATTCTCCATACTGTTCTCTATATATTTCCTAAGGTGATGACAAGATGAATTTGTTTGACAATCAAGAGTTTCTTTAGTTGGTGGTAATTTTCTTTATTCTCTTGACGTTAACTTTTGATTCAGTCAAGGGTAATAAGATGCTAGTCACCGCCAGGGGGGAAGGGGGGGGGGTCAAATGGTTAATACCATTTCATGTGTTTTGATTTGTTCAAATAACGGCTCATATACCATCATTGATGAGCCAATCAAAACTCTTGGATTAAAATTTATAAGTACGGCGTTTTTCTTTTTCTTTTTGTAATTAAATAAATTTAGAAAAAAAAAAAGTGCATTGCATTAAGATCAAAGTCAGTTAACCTTTCGTAGTTTTCTACAACTTGCGTGACAAAACAAATCAATATTCCCCTAACGACAATAAGAAACCAATACGAAACTGGATAGGTCAAATATCTGATGGCGCTAAAACTTCCATTTTCTTTCTGATGAACCCGATGATTTTGAAAAGAGTTTTCAATGTTACTTGGTTAGCATTGGAGCTTTGCTTTCAAAATTCCGTGATGTTTGAAAAAATGCCCGGAAATGCGATAACGAATTCACTGCGGAAAGTATGGCATGTGCATTTATTAATAGTCTTTCTAAGGACAATACAGTTAATTTGGAAAATGATAAGAAACGCTTCAGAAAAAGAAAGATAAAGGGCGAGTACATCGTGAACCGCGTGATATGAGCAAGTAATGAGCTGCTTTTGGTAAACTGCGTTTGACAAAATCTCGAAAATTCGTGATTAGTGTTTGGGACAGCTCCCTTCCGCTGTCAGTTATTATTATACTAAAAGTTGCTGTACTTTCACTGTCTTAGTTTTCGTTCATAATCCAAAACAACATGTGGAACGTGAACGTAACGGCCTCAGATCTATAACTGAAAGTTACGGCCCGGTAATTCAAGTTTACCATTTTTACTGGGTCACAAAATAAACTGGTTAAATTTTCGAATTTGGTGTGTGGTTGACTCTATTTGACTCTATTTGATTTCAACAACGGTAAGTTCGTCCCAAAATTTTCACTTAAACGGTGAAATGTTTCCAGGTTCAACACATTTCGTTTACTAAAGCTGATCGCAAATTGGTTATTATCTCGATTTAATCAGTTCATTTCACGGGTTGAAGCCGGAGGAGCGCGCCAAACAGTACGTTAGTCATGAGACTTGATATATTCCACCTTTACAACAAAGCCGTTTGAAATAAATGAACTTTCTTGTTTTGGCTTACCTTAAACTGACCTGAAAAACGCCAGGTTTGCAGTGCAATTATTCCTTGGACTGACGTCTATTGTTCCTTTCCGTTATGGATTGTAGCAAACACAACCGAAATCAAGTGCGTTTACTGACGAGTTGAAGTCTGATCCTAATCTTTTATCACTCGTATTGGTTGCCTGGAGTCACAGTATCCATTTGTGGTCATGGCGTAATGACGTAATGATTCGTTTTAGAGCCTAGGGCGCTCATTCACTTTTGATACGTCAAAGGAGAGTGCTTATTCGAAACAGGGCGCTTACATAAGGGACAGAGCGCCTATTTCTTTTTTGAGAAACAGCAGAATCTGCGAAACAAAGCTTTGATATGATTTCAAAAGGATAAAGAAGACTTACAAAGGGCATAATCCGTGGATCCTTCCTGGCTAGAATGACCCGCCGAATGAACGATGGCAAAATTTTTGGACGAGATAATTCGTTCATGAGGGAACTGTGCACTCATGTGGATATTTTTGTTGAAGTTGAGACTGCAGTGAAGTTTTTTTTCAACTTCTTAAAGGAAGGTGAGCCACGGCTGATCTCAGTGTACATTTAATCTGGCAGTGCTATCTCTGATGTAGAATCCTTGGGTTTCACCCACGTGACCAATACCTTAGCAACGGTTACTATCCGCCATCTTGGTGTCCCTCGAGCGTAAACAAACCGTATCTAACGAAGAGTTCATGTGAGAAAGAAGGGATGGTTTTATGCATTGTGGTTGGCTGTTCTAGCAAAAGTGGAGAGCATGAAGACTAAGGATTTTTTCGTATAATAATTTTATTATTTCTATAGCGCAAAATTAATTAGATATATGATCTAATGCGCTATACCTAAGATCACTACAAATCAAGGGGAAGAACAGGAGGAACTAAAAGTTGTTGTATGGTTCGAGGCTTGCGGCTGTTGTAGATGCGCGATTTTTTGGTCGAGCTTTTCTTTGAGCTTTTTAGCCGATGAGAAATCGATGTCTTTAGCCCTCGCATACGGCACTTCATTGCCATATGTCGGCAAAGTCCATGAGCATTTTACCTGAGTGCAAGCAAGCTTGGGGTGTCACGAAAACTCACACCCCGAAAACTCAGACCCCTCGAAAATTCAAGAGATAAACTCGACTCATGATCACTCCTGGTCGAGCTTTTCTTTGAGCTTTTTAGCCGATGAGAAATCGATATCTTTAGCCCTCGCATACGGCACTTCATTGACATATGTCGGCAAAGTCCATGAGCATTTTACCTGAGTGCAAGCAAGCTTGGGGTGTCACGAAAACTCAGACCTCAGACCCCGAAAACACACACCCCTCGAAAACTCAAGAGATAAACTCGACTCATGATCATTCCTGGTAATTCCGCGTGTATTTTGACCTTTTGGGTCTTGATCCAACTGAAGCAGCAAAAACAAGGCCGCAAGTTGCACGTTTCGCAAAATCGTCCGATGGTTGAGTATTAAAACATTTTAGAGTGACACAAGACCTCATTTAGCTTAGATTTCCTCCATTTTTCCCGTTAATTTTGAGCTTTTCATTCACAGTTAACTGGATCAAATGCGCTCGCTCCAACACCAAAGTATTAAAATGTGGCGTGATTTTGACGAGCCGAAAGGGACGTTTGTTTACCTTTTTGTACTTCGTCGCACAGATCCTTGTTGTCGCTCTGTTAAAATTCTTAAATATTTCGCGATAATAATGGATACAAACAGAGACTCGGCCCACCAGTCCCAAAACGAAGACAATTTTGCGACCCTTGGGCTAGAGTTCTTAAATGAGGCAGAAAGAGAAAAACAACGCGAAAGAAGACTCGGCATCAGCGCCGTCACGATTCGCTTCACTGAAGAATCACTCTTGATATTGTTGTCCGTCTTTCGCGTCGGATTTGTTGCATTATTCCACCGGTTATATTATAAAAAAA